TCTTCCGATAAAACAAAAAGAATTCAAATCACTCACAGAGCTTCTCTCTGTAGGAAAGTTGAATCCTGAACATATCATTAATATTAAAGGCGTGACATCTCATTTATATTCTGTGAAGCTTTCCAGGACTGTAGGGTGCCCTTTTAGTAAAAGCGGAGCCTAAAAAGTTAACTGAAGTTTTCTGAGAAACAAAGAACTTTGCACGTCATTCTTCCACACCATCTCAGTGACATTTGTAGCGCCAGCCTGCTTCCCCCCATTACATCTGAGAAACTGGCTTCTCATAAAAGAGAAGCAACATGTAATCCAGTTTCAGACACAGCATGATGGTTCAACAGCTGGAAAAATCATCTACTAGCAAGAGTAAATAGGACCATAATCTGCGTGAGCTTTCTGGAAAGCTCAGATTTTATACCTCAGTCAAATTCATACTCCATCATTTGGGAGTCTGCAACAATACACTGTATGAAATACTCAATGCACAAGCTCCTGTCAGAGCACTCATACCTCCAGCTCTGGAATGCAGCCTGATTATCCACATGGTCAGAAAAGGATTTCCACAATACTGTATAAAACACTGCATATACCTTTCCTTTCTCATAACTGTATAAGCTTTGGCCACTAATGGACACAAGATCTGATGGACCAGTGATGTGGTCCATGAAACCAAATCCTGTGTTCTTATGCACTGTGTGACAGATTTAAGACATGGCACAAAAAAGAAAAAAAAACTCAATAGCACCCTAAACTGTAAACAGATACTGCTGTGAAATTCTGATGTAAGTATATACTGTAATTCAGCTGCCTTTCAAGTATTCTTGACAAAACACTGAAAACTTTCCAACGGGGTATCCCATTTCTGTTTAAACAGTAACAGCTGTATTAGGTCATACTTAGTGGTTTCTTCTTCTTCTTTTTCTTGTTACTCTTCTTGTCAAACGTTCCCTTCATCGATGCTCTGCAGCTGAAGTCTCTGGCTGGCATGGGGTCTGGTACTACGCCGTGTGTTCATACTGTTTCCTGGCAGAGTCCGCACAGGCAGCAGAGCTCCTGGTAAAGCCTCCTCCCCGAACAAGCTCATTTTCACATCCGCTTCGATAGCTTTTGCTAAACTGGATGCATAACTGTCCAGAGATTTATGGACTTCTGCTTTTACATGAAGAACTGAATTCTTTGCAGCTTCTGGAAGGAAAAAGAAAACAAAAAACATAAAAAAACAATAGAACATTAACAGACAAATACCATCACTGTGTGAATGCTTGAGGAATAACACTGGTCCTCTTGTGAAGATATCATCATGCCTCCTGCAAAATAACTACCCCACATAGCACCTTTACCAAGAAAATAGCCAGAGCTCCCAAACCATTCCATGAACATGAAGCGACCCCTAGGTCACATAGAGAGAGATTATTCCCAATTCATCATTTTAGATATCAAGGGGATATCTAAAAATATATATTTAAAGAAGGAAAGTGCTTATATACGTATGTTTAATTTAATTTGGAATTAAGCAAACATTGATTGATTTTGTGGATTTGAATCCATGCAGACAGTACCTTATTCGTCTGAATCTGGAACCAACTAAAGTCAAAGACCAGATTTCTCCTTACTACACAGACCACACAATAGACAGTGGGAACTGCCTGACATCAGGCATCAGCAGACTGAAACAAAGCTCTCAGTTCTTTCTTCTCTTGTACTTACAACCTTACAGGCATTTTCAGTGTGATTAAACAAAGATCGCCCACTATTGACATGCAGTGTAAGAGCTATTTTATAACAAGTCCAGCAAACACCAAGCTTTGTGTTTATGAATTATCAGTCCCCAAATCTCAAGAACTTCCTCCAAATGGCAAAGAAAATGAGCAAGGCCCAGTGACCTTAGGTTTAAATTTGCTCTGTTGGCTTCCATACTGCACTGGACGCAGAGTTGAGTTCTGAGTACCAGGAGAGGCTGAAGACTGCTGTTGCAGACAGCCGAACACTTGTTCCTAGCCTTTTATTACCTTGGCTCCTAGTCTCCAGTATGGATGTTGGTGCTTTTATAACCTCTTTAAATTTCTTTACACACCAGTATGTTGAGTAACACTGGTATTCATCCTGAGTATAACTCCAGTGAGGCTGCTGAAATTGTCTAAAACCCTAGACACTTCTGGAAACTCCAAGACACACCAACGTGACTTTGCTAAATGTGCAGGGAACTACTGTACTAAAACCTCTCTCTTCCTTTGAATCCCACAAAAAAAAATGAGACACCTGCTGCTCTAATCACTCAGAAATACAGTGGGAAACCTATGGAAAAATACTCATCCAAGAAAATAACCAGCTTATGCTGGACGGAGGGCAAAAGTGAATTTTCCCAAGACACTACAAGAGAAAATTCCACAGAAAGTGTCTCTCAATAGTAACAGTATTTCAGAATAACAAAAATCAGACAATTTTTGTTATTATTCTATTCTTACAGGCATTCTCTTCATTTTTATGCCGGATGCAATGTTTCTGTATAAATTAAATTAATCATGATCAAGTTTTCTACCCCATATTACAATAGTTTTCAGCTTGCTTTACCATATTTTATAATCACAGCAGCGCTTTGCTATCACAGAATCAACAAGTGAGCTGAAAAATAAATTGCATGTGGCTCATCCACTTTCACCTGTGCATACTGCAAAATATGCAAAGAGCAAAGGAAACAATGAAAATATATTCTGAACAATGAAATCTGTAGATAGAAGGACTTTAAGTTTGTGAACAACAAAGTTGAAAGGGGGCAGCAAGGGGAACACTGGGATAATGGAATGAAAGTATGAATCCTTAAGAAACAAAAACAAGAGAGACGGTGATAGTGGCTAGGTGAGTGGAGTTGCAGAGAAGACACTGCTATGCAGCATGAGTGGTGTGTATGCAGCGAACCCCAGTTTCTGCTTCTTGTCATTATCAGGTGCTACTTGAGAACTGGAATAAAGATCTGCTCTTCCTTTGGCTCAGGTCTCTCAGCGTGATCCGAAAAACACTGGATACACTCTAATGCAACTCAGAAGGTCCCGAGAGGCTCTCTGAAAGGGTGGCACAGTTGCTTTGGAGTATTTCCATACTTACCCCTAAACTCACCTTTAATTTGTTCCACTTCATCTTCAAAGGTCACTGAACTCCTCCTTCGAGGAGGACAGATGCACTGCGGGGGATGAGGGCCATCGGAGCTATAATCTTCTAGGAGCATTACGTCTGTTCCTGAAACAAAGCAAGAGTCCTCAAACAAAACAGAGCAATGCCTGGACACAATAGTGAGGTCACCTGAAGAGAGGAGCTAAAATTTAAGGAGTGGCAAAAACTTTTCAGTTCATAGCAATCCTTTCAAAAGAAGTCTAAACCTGGCTTTCGAGGGTAGATTTCAGTTTGAATTAAACACTGCACACAAAAAGAGTGAGGTCAGAGTTTTCATTGAAAGGATTTGGAAGTCTTTTCATTAGCTATCTAAAACCTCAAACAGCTCTGAAATCAGCTGTAGAGCTTGTAATGTCTATAAGACATGAGGCAAAGGTGAAACCTTACCTTCAGTGAATAAAGGGTGAAGTTGAGGGCAGCTTTTCCCATGCTCTGATGAAGACAGGGGGCTAACAGTGGTCACATGAGAGGCAGACAACAATTAGAAGAGGATTAAAAAAAATGGCGAATTTTATGCTGAATTTATTTTGTCTCTAACAGCTAACTTTGGTTTTCCTTAAATTTTAATGGGGGAAAATCCTCTGTTGGCTGAGAATAATTTTTCTTTTCTTCTCTAACTTCCCTGCACTTTGCTTTTCATTTTTCTATTCTAAATTATAGTGTGCAAGAAGATTCCTCTTGACATCTCTGATTTGCTTTCACACAAAAGGCAAGACTGCAGCCTAGTCGACGCTCATGGTGCTGGTCTCGCCACTGTAGAAGCAGGACATATGTCCCAAGGGGAAAACAGGACAATGCAGAGCAAGCTCTCCTCAGGGAAGCTGCTGCTTCCCTGCTTGGTCTGCGAGGCTTTCAGTCTATTTGCTCCTGTGAGGCGACAACAGTCTGAGGGCAAAGAGCTTCACAGGTTTCATAGCTCTTCCAGATGGTGGCTTTGTATCACTCTTCACCTACTTGGATGGTTTTGACCTCCAAATTTATTTTTTCATAGGGGTTCCAGGGCCAATATTACAGAAGGTAAGAGAAAGACCCTGTTAGGGAGGGGATGCACCTTTGGATAACATATTGCTCCATGTGCTTCATTATTGTATAGCAAAATGATAAACTTTTTATGGGCCTTTTTTTGTGTCTGTATGTGAGTCTTTCATATGCCTCTTCCAAAACATGACATACAGAAGGAGCTGCACTCATAATACACAGTACAAAATGAGTGAGTGACCCTCTGTGCTGTTTTGTGAATAAATTGGGGTTGGAGGTTTGGTCTACTGCAAATGGGAAGCCCTTCCTGATGTCCAAGGTACAGAATCACAGAACCTCATCACAAATAATGGAAGGCAGCTCTAGGAAGAAGTAATTTCTTATTTGAGGCAGAATTTTACCTTTTTTTTTTTTTTTTCAAATGCACACTGAGTGAAGAGACCAGCCTCTCATTTACAGGGTAGATCTTTTGTCTTGAGAATAATTGTTGGTAAGGCAAAATGTCCATCAATTAGGACTCAAATCTTCCTACCTCAGGATCTGGTTTACAGCTGGCACCACTTGGATATTTCCTTTCCTTAACACTTTATCTGCTTTTTTTTTTTTTTTTTTCATTTTACAATGTGAAACGCCTTGCTTCTGTTTACCAGGGTAAATACAGGCACATTACAGGCTGCATTGCAGCTCACAGTTACACATACTGCAGCAGACAGCATTAGAGAGGGACCATTCTCCTCTATCACATGCAGCTACAAAATACCCACAGCTGTCAAAAACTTAATAGTTTCAAGCAGCCAAAAAAAATCCCAGCTCCCTAGTTTTCATTTACAGGGTAAGAAAGAGGCCTCTAACACAAGCAAACCACAGAAGAACACTCTTCAGTGCCTACAGAAGAGAAATGCTCTTGTAGTTAAGGATTTTAGAAAACGTCCCTAGAATGGTAGCTGAAATAATTCCCAGAAAACCCAGTTACAGTTCTAGATAGAAAATTACTGGCAGAACCTTGTGTTCTTTTCCAAACCATCTTGAATTAGGAGATTTTAAGTAGTGATACCATCATAACCTGATACCATCACAACCTAATCTTTTGTTTCAAATCCAGGATGAATAAAATGACGCCTTCTACAGAGAAGCACATTCTCCCCAGTATTTGTTGCCCTGCTCCTTGTGGATACAGGGCCAACAACAGAAACTAAAGGAGAAGAGCACAAGCAGGGTATGCAGTGTATATCTTGTTCCCTGGAAGCATTAACAAGGAAGGTCATTAATCCCTAGAGTAAGCAGAACTTTGCAAGTAGACTCATTAAGAGCAGGAGAGGAAAAGAGCAGCTGCAGCAGTTCTCTGCAATAACCAGATACTTCATGGTAGCCCTCTACCAAGGACCATCTCTGTGAATACAGACTGTCCCGGAGCGTTCCCAAGTTGTGAGTGCACTCTCCTGCCCAAGAAGAGAGAGCAAGAGACTTGTAATTACCTGAATCCTGCGAGCAACTGAAGCCAGTGTCTCCTGTGCTGCTGCTGTTCCCCAAGGGCCGTCCGCCTGCCATGAGGGCAGTGAGATGGGGAGACAGCCCCAGATCTGCAAAACAGTTTGATCCTCATCACATACTGCATGCTTACAGGGTCTGCAACAGTAAAATCCTCTCCCAGGAAAGTGAAAGTAACCTTCCAGAAAAGTGAAAGTAACCTTCTGTCTTCCCAAGCATCTCCTGGGAGGAACGCTAGCAACTTGTGATGTCACTGCAGCTACAGAATACTCACTGCACTGGCTTATTTACCCTTTTCTCCATAAAATTTACCTCATTGATCCCAGCGCACAGCAGGGATTCTAGGATTCTTATAGACGTGCTGTCTTTGGAGATGTTCAAGGACTTTTTTTTGTATCTCTCAGCCTCTACCTGATAAAACTTATAAATTTGAAGCTGTCAGTTGCTCGTCACTGGGAAAAGTGAAAGTAACTTTCTGTCTTCCCAAGCATCTCCTGGGAGGAACGCTAGCAACTTGTGATGTCACTGCAGCTACAGAAGTCTTTCATTGACATGGAGTCTCTCACAGTGATTCCAGGTTGCAGAAAAGACAACAGATGCCTTGCTGCTCTTCCTTCTCTGTTACAATTCAGATTTAGCCCAAATGATAACTTCAGTTCCTACCTCCGCATACAATGTCCCAATGAATACCATGAGAATTTCCTAGTTTGGGGGAGTTTCAGAGCATTCTGAACAGGACCAGGAGAACAGTAAGAAATCAGAATTTCTTTGTGCTACAATTAAAAAGAAGATCTGAGCAGCTGAATAGTCCCTGGAGTTATGGTATTTTCTTCAAAACCATTGATATTACAAACTGAATTTATAGAAAATTGACAACCAATCTAACTTCAGTGATCCACCAGAAAGTGTAGCATAAAGCCAGGAATCAGAGCATAAGTACCACAGGAGATACTATTGGTAGTGCTCAGGTGTGGATAACACAAAACCATAACATGAAAAACATAAAAAAAAAGCTTGAGAGAGAAGGTTTGGGGGCCTCTTACCTGTGATCCTATTGGAAATGCTAAATAGCCTTGATGTCCTATGCCGCTGAACAAAAGACTCGCGGTAATACCGATCCCCAAAGCACATTCCTAGCAGTTCCTTGCGCACTGTTTTGTTCCACAGTCCATAAATCAGTGGATGGCAAATGGCGCTTGAAAACGATAACCACGTAGCTAATGTCTCCCAGGCAGGAGAAATACTGTTCTTTCCCCAGAGTGCCTCTGATGTAATTACTACCATGTAAGGTCCCCAGGTAATCACAAAAGCCCCGATGACAACCAAGATGGTTATGAAAGCTTTGCACTGGTTGGCAGAGTAGACAACTCCCTGGAAGGCATTCCTCCGGCTGCCGGAAGAGGACGTGGAGGTGCTGGAGTTCTTCCTCCCATTCCTCTGTGAGTCTTCCTCCACAATAACCACGCTACCACAGTGGATTTTGCGGGCTTTAATCCTAGCCACGCGGAATATGAATCCATAGCAGATCATCATGACGACGAAAGGCAGCAATGCGCACCAGATCTGCCAAAAGGCAGTGTAGGCAGCCTCTTTGTGCCAGGCTGCCACGCACATCCACTTGAACTGGTCAAACTCCAACGACGACCAGCCGAAGAGGGGAGGGAGACAGCCAATAAGGGAATGCAGCCACACGTACACGAGGGCTACCACTGCTCTGTTGCCTGTAATCTTCATTGGGTAAACCATCGGGTACAGCACAGCATAGTACCTGGTGGACGAAAAGGAAGAGTCAGCAGCAGCACAGAAAACGTACAGTGAGAAAGGCACACGTTTCATTGATATTGGTATCTAGTCACCTTTGTGCAACGAGCTCTTTTCTCAAAACCTTAAACTGGGCCCAAGGACTTCACAGAATCACAGACTGGTTGAGGTTGGAAGGGATCTCTAGAGATGATCGAGATCCCTGTGCTCAAGCAGGGACACCTACAGCACATGACACAGGGTCACATCATTACGAATAGCTTTATTTAAGAATTGCATCTTTGAAGGCAAGACCAAAAGTCACCTGAAAACAAAGACACAGCTGTTAACTCCGTCTCTCTGTGTGATGCATGCTGAGGGGATATTTGGAATTTTGTTTACTTACTGTTTCTTAAGTGATACATCATTATACTATAAACAGCTTCAAAAAACTCAAGATATATGAAAGTATTTTGCCTTATCAATGGTAACACTTTCTTCTGTTCTGTCTCACTGTGTGTGGGGGAGGGTGAATTAAACTAGTGGTAAGTCACTATATTGTAACATATGGTGATCCCCTGCAGCACTTCCCAATCCTGTGAACAGACAAGAAATCACTGCACAAAACAGCTAGGACAGTTTGTTTTCTTTATCAAAGTGCTGCTTACCGGTCTATGGCTATGAGTCCAAGAGTGAGCATGCTGGCTGAGCTGATCAGCATGTAGAGCAGGGCTGAGAAGTTGCACCACACGACTCCGAAGATCCATTCCCTCCTGATGGAGCTGGTGACAACAAAAGGCAGCACCAGAACAGAGAGAAGAAAGTTGGAGAGGGTCAGGCTGAAGACGAACTTGTTGCTCAGTGTGAGAAGGTAGGACTTCCTGTAGAGGGTGACAACAATCACCAGGTTGCCCAGGCAGATGAAAATGGCAATGACGATTATCGCAATAGACTCGGTGACTCTGAGAGCCCCATTTTCCAGCGTGGTGAGGTTCCTCAGGCCCTTCACATTGACGAGGGAGGAATTGCTGCTCATGGTCAGAGCGTGCAGAGCTGGAGCAGCCAAGGCATGCTGAGCAGCTACAAGTAGAAAAACAACACTCAGAGACTTTCAGGAGAGGTTTCCTCACACCCTCTCCAAAGATCAAGAGCTCTTTTAACCACATTAATTAACCTTTACCTGTAGGATAGGGAAGCCATTTTAGATGGCAAAACAAACGGGAAGGAAATTGCCATGGGCACACCAAAGAGGTAAATGACAGAGTTAAATCTAGAAGAGAGAAAAAACTGTCTGAAAGACAGAACAAGGTAGATGGAAAGGGGTGGGAGTAGGAAGAAATAAGGAAGAAAGTTAAAACACGGTATGTAATATTTTTCTAGGGAGTTTACTTGCTTCTAAGCACTGATCAGCCATACTTACCAGCTGTGCATCTCACACAGTCCCTTCATCTAGGCTGTAAAGAAAAAATAATGATGTAATTATTAGTCTTTGTTCCTCTCAAAAAAAAAAAAAAAGGAGCTTTTTCATTCCTGCCTGCTTATCCTGACATTGCATTCTGCCTGTGTAGCATTTTCTGATGGTCTGTGGATGCCTGGCTAGGCCTACCCTGCTGACTCTGTGGCAGTTGCTAGGTGACATCTGAAGTATCAGGGAGCCATGCTGCATAGTCCCCTAATGCTATCTCTTCTCATACACCACCACCTTAGCTACCATAGAGGTTACCCTGTCTCACCACCTCCGTACTTCCCCCAGTTCTGCAACAGCCTGTCTGCCACAGGCATTCATTCAGTCCTTCATCCATCTACAGGCCAGCATACCAAGAAATAAAAAAAGAAGCAAAAAAAAAAAACACACTGAAAATGCACATATAATAACTGAATAACCAAAAAAAAAAAAAAAAAGTGCCAAGTAATGTCAGGCTGATCTTAGCACTTCTTGAAAATTGGTGACCCACCAAGGGCATCTTGGCTGCGCCTGAGCCCACCCCTATTGTTCCCAAGTGGCCAGGAGTGCTCAAGAGCCTCTTCCATCTCTGAGGCTGTCATGGCCTTAGGCAACATTGTCAGGCCGCAGACACGTATTTTTTCAATTTTTATGTGTGCCTTGCTAAAGGCTTAAATAAAGACATCATTGAGTCATACTCTGTAACATCTAGGTTCACTCTTTTCTAGTTAAACTGCATGTCAACTGTGACAATAGTGTTTTGCCTGAAGTGCTTGGCTTGAACTGAATTTCGTTCCGTTTTGCGAGTCTTCCCAGTGCCTTTTAAAGCCTGTAGGCTTTAGGAAAGGGGCTCTCCTGGACTAGCCACAGCCTCTCCTGACATGAGCGACACCCAGGTTCCACCCTCCAACATTTCCTTTCAGGGCAGTATCCAACCTTGAGCTACCCAAAAGCAGGAGAAAGCACCCAGCAACCGGACTCTGCAGGCCCCAGCCCCAACAGGGGCAACTGCCCATGTGGGATCAGTGGGAAGGGGGATCAGGAGGCCTCTCTGCCCAGGACCAGCACTGTGAGCAGTGTCCACCGCACAGGGGCTGCGCTCCTCCAGGGGGTCCGGAGCAGAGAGCAGGGGGCACGCTGACACTTGCGCGCAAGCAAAGCCCTTGAGAGCAAACAGCGCTGCCTGCCCGATCAGAACCATGGGCACCCACAAGGATTCTGCGAGCGGGGGGCAGACACAGCATCTCGGTGGGGCCCCTTGGAGCCAGGGCCTGCACCGCGGCGGGACAGGACAGGGGGCAGCCAGGACCCCCCGGTTCCCCGCACTATGGAGAGGCCCCGGCAAGAGCCTCCATTTTGCCCCCTCAGTCGCCAACAACGTGTGGGGAAAGGAAAGAGGCGGGGAGGGGAGCAGCATCC